AAAAACAAGTAGCTACAATGTTTAATATAAGACAAATTCCATCAACAAAAGTATTGGAAAGTCTGTACAAGCCCAGGACAATCAATGAAATTTGCATGTGAAAGAGGTAGTTTTCTGACAACAAATACTTTTCAATTAGACTAATTTATAAACTTGAGGAGTAACTAGAAACTATAAAGAAAACATCAAATGAGTCTTCAAAGCATTTTCATGCACAAACCCAAATACAGTTTACTGGATGCCATTTAATTTGGCAGCTCTAACCATGTAGCCAAATAGAAGGTTGGCATAAGAGATAAAGAAGCCAACAATATCCAAGCTAAATCCCCTAAATATGGTCAGAACAATGTTAAGAAGCAAGGTGAGAAATGAAGGAATATGCAATAGGAATTCAATTTCCTACAAGATAAAGAAAGATAATTAAATAAAAATCCTGACTAGCTAGGGAAGAATGTCCAGCAGCAAAATAATAATTATTATTATCTCATGTGTGCTATTGGTATAGAGTCTTGAAAATCATAGGTTGCTAAATTGCAAACATCAGGGAAGTAAAGTAGTAGCTCAAAAGATTAATCTTAATCAAAAGATTAAGAAAACTGAGATTTCCAAACTGAATTTGAAAAGGAAACAGGTCAGCTCATCACAGATGAGAAAGAAGCTTCTACTATTTGGCTGGCTGTTTTAAATCAATAACCTGGAACATTTGCAGGTTAAAAGTCCTATAAAAATGACACAGGGAGACGTAAATGGGGTAGAAACAACAGTGTTTACACCTTCATAATAGAAAAGTATTACTAAAAGGATTTACAAGGTAGTAACATGATGTATATAGAAGTCAAAGAGCTTTAATAAATGATGAGAAAAGGCATTAGGCATGGAAGTAAAGCCAAAGGACTGGACATAACACCACCTACACGTACTAGATTATTCTAAACCAAGTAAGCCACCCCAAGATTCACAAAAGATCATGTTTTATTTTTCCCTAAATGGCAGTATTCCCATTAGCACCAAACCAGTAAAGGCAGTTAGGTAGAAAAACCAAGAGTTAGAAGAACACAAGACACTAGTCCTTTCTGGGATGCTGTTACACAAATTGCTGAAACAATCTAAAGATACACCTTGACCTAAAAAGGTCCCAGGCTTAAAATCCAAACTAAAAGAAAAGCAAGTATATTGCCCTTTTCTCCTATTGGGAAAACCATGTCACCACTGAAAAATTAGAACAGATAAATAGTAATGGGTCAGTATAATAAGTATCTTTTATTTATAAAAGCACCTAGATTGGCATCAAACTCATCAACTCCTGGCTGTCTTCAATAATGACCAGGCCTCCTTTGGAGATGACTACTTCTTACCATCCTTAATCTGTACCTCAGATATGTGACTTCTTGCCTAACAGTATCACAGATTACAGACTAAATGTTTGTGTCCTCCCCAAATTCTTATGTTGCAGCCCTAACCCTCTGTGGTTATATTTGAAGAAGGGGCTTCTCAGAGAGTAATTAAGGTTAAATGAGGTCATAAGACTGGGGACCTGATACAACAGGATTAGTGTCCTGATAGACAGATACCAGAGAGCTCATTCACTTGCTCCCTTCGTCCCTGTGGTCTTACAAGAGGAAGGCCATGTGAGGACTCAGCAAGAACACACCAACTGCAAGCCAGGAAGAAAGTCCTCATTAAAAACCTAGTGGATCAGAACCTTCTCTTAGGCTCTAGTCTCTAGAACTATGAGAAAATAAATTTCTGTGTTCTAAGCCACCCACCCTGCAGTGTTTTGTTACAGTAGCCTAAGGTGACTCAGACATATCTATCATATTGATGCTTAATAGTGAAAGTTTCAATTTATTTCTTACATTTCCTAATGCAATGCTCTGTAAGGCTGGATGTTTTAGAAATGCTTCTTCAACATAATAATTGTTTTTAAAAGTCTCAGACTACAATAACAGCCATCACTTTCTATAAGCACTGATGGTGTTATAAGCCAAGAATTTTTACAGGCAAATAAATTTTTCTTCTTATCTAAAAAGCTGCCTGGATAATGCTTACTCTTCCTTTACTCACTACTGAAAACTGTCAACAGCAACTCAAGTAATATAATTTCTGTTCTTTTTTTTTTCTGGAGGTAGTCTCACTCTATCCCAAGGCTGGAGTGCAGTGGTGCGATCTCGGCACACTGCAACCTCCACCTCCCAGGTTCAAGAGATTCTCCTGCGTCAGCCTGCCGAGTAGCTGGGATTACAGGCACCTGCCATCAAGCCCGGCTAATTTTTGTATTTTCAGTAGAGATGGGGTTTCACCAGGTTGATAATTTCTTTTTAGGAATTACAAACAACAGACAAAGTATCTTGTATGATGGTAATTTATGTGCACGTGTGTGGTAAAAAGACCAAAATGCACTTACGCAATTTTTATATACATGAGATACTTTAGTTCCTTGATTCTACGCCAATTTATCTAAATATTAACAAACTTAGGACGGTGGGCCTTGGGCTTAGAGAATATTACATTGTGGAATCAGAGAATCATAAAATCATAGAATCACAGAGTAGAGGTTTGTCTCAGTGAACCTCACTACTTTTTCAAATGCGGAAAACCAGAGTTCAGTACCTTGCTCAAAGCAACATAAATAGTTCCCTTAATTCCCAGAATTGCGTTTTTTTACCGTATTGTTAAGCAATAATTTTCTGTAAAGTAAAATAATAATTCTCAAAATTAATAAACACATATAAAAGATTTAACTCACTAATTAGGGAACAAGTAAGATGCCAAGTCTAATTTTTAAAAGATTTCAAAGAAGAAACAAATTAACAGAAATGCCAGCAAGATGTAAAATCTGCAAAACCAGTCAATATGCATAGGACAATAATCTAATGCATCCTCCAAACACAATTGGCATGTTATGGACAAGAATACTGTACTTTATCGTCTATTTTCTACAATGCACACAACTCTAGTACAGCTCAAAGACAATGAAAGGCAGAGCTAACCTGGATGGTTGAGCTAGACAGAGCACGCTTTAAAAAAAAAAAAAATCATTTCAAAGTCTTTCACAACTTTTCCTCACAGTCCCTTACCATGTACAAGTACTCTCAAACTAGAGAACAGCATGATGGGTGAGTTTAAAAAACAAAATTCAGAATTCTTGTTTCATTGCTAACTTTCTGAAAGGCCTGAGAAAAAGACCCAAATTACGGCATTAAGTTTGCTTTTTAAAAACTGTGAAAAAAACAAGCGCATCTTAAAACTACAAGCTTTGAAACTTTTAAATTGCTTAATTAAAATATTTCCAGATTCAGTTCATTTTTAAGCAAGACTGCAGCCCTAAAGAGACCACTATTTTTTTTCATCTTTTTTGAAACAAACATGATTAAAAAGTCATTGTTTGAATAGAAAACTATGAATTAAACAAGCAAACAAACAACCCCACGATAATGAAACCCATTCCTGGGAGATAATGACAATGCAAAGTACAAGAAAACCATTTTTAAGCATTAGTTCATGTGAGCACCTATTGATGGAAATACTGCTAGTGAGTCCTCCTAAGAACAGCTTTTTCATTGTCCTATCAATAGCTTTTGTGGCTCACATTCCTCACATGTACTGAGGGCATTCATGATAAAAAAAAAAAAAAAAAGTATCTAGCATACCTCTTGCTGTCAAGTTGTAAAACTTCAACTTGTTTTGGGAATGTTAAGAATGTGTAATAAATATGGATTTATTAATTTACAATAAAACACTAATGGGTGAAAGGACCAGACACCCATCCTCGGACCTGCACGTTTCCTCCCTGCACAGGAAGTCAAACCATAATCAGAATGTTGCTTTGTCTGGCACCATAGCAACAGCAACGAGCTGCATACACCATGAAGCGCATCGGATTATTCATTCATTCAGCATGTTCTGGCCTATAGCTAGAAATATAGCCATGAACATGAGAGATCAGAAGCCTGAGCTTGTAGAGTTTATAACCTCCAGGTTGGACTCTGAAAATGAGATCTCCTTGCCACAGGATCTGTGCAGGATGATCCTAGTTCTAGCTTTCTCTGGCCTAGATAATGCCTAATGGAGGCCTGCAAATATTCACTGTACTTTTCAAAAAATATTTTTTATACAATATAAAATTTTCACTTTAACCATTTTAAGTGTACACTTCAATGGCATTAAGTTCAAAATGTTGTGTAACCATTACCACTATTTCCAAAAGGTTTTTGTCATCCCAAACAGAAACTCTGTAATAAGTTTGCTTTTTAAAAGTGCCACAAGTTAATAACATTTCTGGTTGACATATTTTTTTAAAAAAGTATCTATCTTAAGAGCTCAATTATAGGCCTGCCCATAATGTGTTTAAGAGGTCTGGGTCAGGTGTGGTGGCTCACATCGTAATCCCAGCACTTTGGGAGGCCGAGGTGGGTGGATTGCTTGAACTCAGGAGTTTGAGACCAGCCTGGGCAATATGGTAAGACCCTATCTCTACTAAGAACACAAAAAAGGGCCAAGCACAGTGGCTCAAGCCTGTAATCCCGCACTTTGGGAGGCCAAGGCGGGCAGATCACAAGGTTAGGAGATCAAGACCATCCTGGCCAACATGGTGAAACCCCATCTCTACTAAAATACAAAAATTAGCTGGACATAGTGGAGTGGGTCTGTAATCCCAGCTACTCGGGAGGCTGAGGCAGGAGAACAGCTTGAACCCAGGAGGGGGAGGTTGCGGTGAGCCGAGGCTACACCACTGCATTCCAGCCGGGCGACAGAGCGAGGCTCTGTCTCAAAAAAACACACAAAAAGGAGATGGGCATGGTAGCACACACTTGCAGTCCCAGCTACTCGGGAGGCTAGCGGGGAGGATCACTAGAGCCTGAAGGCAAAAGCTGCAGTAAGCCAAGGTCATGCCACTGCACTCCAGCTTGGGTGACAGAGCAAGACCCTGCCTTAAAAAAAAAAAAAAAGAGGTCTGTATGTTTATTTTGCCATTGTGTTTTTTTAGATTTTATTATATTAAAAATATGAAGTGTTTCACAAATTTGCATGTCACCCTTGTGCAGGGGCCATACTCATCTTCTCTGTCTCATTCTGATTTTTTAGCATATGTGCTGCTGCAACATGTACTAGCCATTCTATTTCGATTTTATAACTGTTTTCCAAAGGGCAAACTTATTTCTAAGTTCTTAGAGAGAAAGGTACCTCACTGTCATGTCCTCCCTCCCACCCCACTGCACACAGGTGCTTTCAGCTACAATGCACACTATTTCATCCAACTCTTACAAATATCTAAAGAGAAGTTACCATCACCTTTTCAGAGATAAGGAAGCTAAGACCGGCAGGAATGATGTTTCTCAAAGCTACTCAGCTACCAAGGGAACAATGCAAGCATCGGTAACAGTTATTCCATGATGGAGCCATGACTGACTGGATAAATGTATGTGTGTTTTTATTATATACTTAATATTAACTGGTTCTAAGACTGAATACTCCATTAAATTTGTTATTAAGATATATACTCCTATAACAAGAAGGGACGTATAAGAGAGATGAAAAGGTTTTAAAGACACAGGAAAGGCTAAAGAAGTGATTTTACACGGATAAACTCTGGGAGAAATCTTCAACCTATCTCCCTACAAACAGTTGATATGAGTCACTTAGGGTGGCTGCCTTTTTTCTGAAAGCTGTCATACATGTCCACGGGCAAAATAAAGAAAAAGAGACTCTACAATTCATTGATGTATGTATCATGGTAGCACTCTGTGGTTTTATGACAAATTGAAACGCCATCATATGCCACTTTTAAAACCCAAATAACTAAAACAAAAACTCCCAGGGACAGCAAAGGCAAAATACTGTCCATTGTATGTGCTTGGATACACGTGTTTCTAAAAGCAACATGTGAATTTCTCTTTTCAAGAAAATGTTTAAAGAAACTGGTATGGTAACAAACAAGGAAAAATATGGAGAGTAGTTTAAAGTTAGTATTTTGTTTTTGTAGAGTTTAATTTATTTAGAGAAATCCTTATTACAACTCCTCTCTGAGTAAGGAGCTCAAAGGAAAGGTAATAGAGACTAGTTCTTAAATGCAGAAGTCCAAAAGACTAGTATTTAAGATCCAAGTCTATCACTCAGTAAGTGTCAGATATTGGCCATATTACACAATCTCTCTCTGTTTCCTCAAAATAATACCGCTTAACAAAGGATTAACTAAAATAGTACATGTAAAGCACCACACACAGACCATAGCATATACTGTGAGTTTTATTTAAGCATTAAAAAGCATGGGAAGTGGGCAGTCACTGAAGCACATTGATTTAAATTATTACTCAATTAGACTAAATTCAAAAAAAATGACGATTTCTTTGTCCCATTCCCCAACCCACACACAAAAAGCCAACAAACAGAAGATAGTCGAGGTCAAGATTTTCAGTTTGTTCTCCAGCTATTATTTTTTCTTCCCTACTTCTATTTTGGATTAAGGTATTTCAACGGACCAAAATCAAAGCAGAACAGAAGGAAAGCAAGAGAAAATGGAAAGCAGGAACTAGAAAAGCCAGTATCAGAAACATACAAAGCATCTCCTCACTGCATTAGCAAAGCTTACCATGCAACATTCAATAGGTAAACAGTGATGATTGGCTGACACTGGGTTTAAGACACTATTCCACACGCCCCACATACTGAATACTCTAAGGTAGTTAGAGAGAAACTGAGGGGGAAGACAGAGAAAATGCACCTCACAGTTCATTCTGTATGTCACTGTTTTACACACAGGAGTTTAAATGGTTTGGTACCAACTAAAGACCAACTATCAGTTCTCCATGGAAGCAGCAAAATATAAAAATATCCTTGAAATCAGTACAGAGCCTTTCTGCTAGGGTCTGGTGATACGGTTTTGAGATTCCTTGTCTTGGATCATTCCTCATTTGTTGGACCCACAAATAATGGTCCTGCCTAGAACCATCACCACAAGTTGGAGTGAAAAAATGCCAGAGGACTAGGCTTGTGGGTAAAAAACTCAATTTTCTCATGATTGACCTTGGGTAGCCTCAACAAGTTATATAAGGTTGTTGTTTCTACAGAAAGACACTGCATTTTCAGAACATCTCTAGGCACAAAAATTAGTCACGCAACTGAAAGACAAGAAAATTTTAAGCATATATTATAAATAAATGTGAATACTAAGGGGTGTGTATCCAAACACATGAATAGCTCTGAAAAGAATAAGACAAAAATATCAAATATACTTGAAATGAGAGAGATGTCTTCTGGGAACTAAACTCTTGCCATGAAAGGAGAAAACTGGAAAGGTCTTCAGGGGTTCCGGTGCCTGTTCAACCATTAATTCATAATGTGTTGCTGGAAAAAAATCTTAGTGTCTTCAAGCCTCATTTTCCTCATCTGTTTCTGTCCAAGATCTCACTGGGTTCTTGTAAGAATCAAATATGGTAACAGTTATTCTTGAAATATGGCCACAGACCAGCAGCATCAGTAACACAGGAGCTTGTTCAAAATGTAATCGAGTCCCACCCAGCCCTACTAAATGTGAAACTTCAGCAATCAGTTATTCTGATGCACCTTGAAGTTTGATAACCACTGCACAAAAACAGATCCAACCTGAAAATCTTGAAACACTGAAGTGTTACTATGGAAAAAAATTAAGACTATTACATTGTTTGAAGATTTTAAGAACTTTCACTTACAAATGGATATAGAGAAGGCTATGTGTGGCTTTTGTTGTTGTTTTTGTTGTTGTTGTTGAAACAAAGCATCACTCTGTCACCCAGACTGGAGTGCAGTGGTATTGTTACAGTTCACTGTAACCTTGAATTCCTGAGCTCAATCAATCCTCCTTCCTCAGCCTCCCAAGCAGCTGGAACCACAGGCATGTGCCATCATGCTCAGCTAATTTTTATTTTATTTACGTATTTACTTTTTTATTTTATAAGAAAAGAGGTCTAACTGGAGAAATCAGCAAAAAGAAAGGGGCTACAGAACTCATGCAACTTTGGAACCCAGCAGGGCAGTCATTAAATCTTAAAGCTCCAAAATAATGTGGCACATTTTTAATTTTTCTTTTGTAGTGACGAGGTCTTGCTATGTTGCCCAGGCTGGTGCTGAACTCCTGGGCTGAAGTGATCCTCCTACCTCAGCCTCCTGAAATGCTGGAATTACAGGCGTGAGCCACTGTTCCTAACCTATGTGTGGCTTTTTTAAAGCCCAGATTCACAATTAATGTAAATGCTACAATAAAATAAAATCCAAAATTATGGCACCTATCAATGTTAAAAGGCACTGCTATTTCCTCATAACTTTAAAAGGATTGGGGGAAAGAAATAAAATTAGTAATGATTACTTTTTTTTTTTTTTTTTTTTTTGAGTCTCTCACTGTTGCCCAGGCTGGAGTGCAGTGGTGAGATCTTAGATCACTACAATCACCACCTCCCAGGTTCAAGCGATTCTCCTGCTTCAACCTCATGAGTAGCTGGGATTATAGGTGTGCACCACCACACCCAGCTAATTTTTGTATTTTTAGTAGAGACGGGGTTTCACCATGTTGGTCAGGCTGGTCTTGAACTCCTGACCCGATGATCCACCCATCTCAGCCTCCAAAAGTGCTGGGATTAGAAATGTGAGCCACCATGCCCAGCCTACATATTCTTTAAAGAGTAAATATTAGATTAAATTTATTTCAATCCAATTATTAATAAATAAAGTGAATTTGAGATTAGGTCTCTCTAGGGAAAAAGAGGAACAATAAGTCTTCCCAGGATCTTTACATTTTCTTGGCAACAGTAATGCATTCATTGCTTTAAAAGGTAAAAGGTAAAATAAAATAAAAAATAAAGAAGAAATTAGTTACAAAAGATGCATTTCAATTGATAATGGAGGCTTTCAATGTAATAATTATAGGAAATCTTGGAGGAGTTCTAATAAGTAGCACCTAATTAAGAACAGAATATGCTAAGAAAATGAAGAAGTTATATTAAGATTGTTTTACATTCTATATTCTAGTTAAGCCCAATAAAACATGTTAAAACAAACAAAAGTGTTCCTCAGAAATATCCTTAGGCCCCATTTATTGTCATATCTCATCTATTACATCTAGTTAAGAAAATACAGCACTTCAGCCTCTGACAAATTAGAGACAACCTGAGAGTCACGTTGGTAGAAATACACATATTTGAAAAAATTCTGGGGTGAAAGTAAGGAAGAAGAGATTTGAAGAATAAATTAACATTTAAAATACAGTAAGATTATATAGAAATAGTTCAATGAAAAGACTTGCCCATAAAAAGCAAAATTATCAACTAACTGGAGATTTAAACTAGACTGTGTTGATGCATAAATTCTTCAGAACATGTTTATTTGTATGATTTTCTTTTACATACCCTTCAATAAAACTTACACTACACAGTATACTAGACTAAGTCCCTAGGCAATGAGAAAAGAGGCAACCCCAGCAGTGGTCTTGTGGTTTGGCCTACCGTATGAAGACAGCAAGCCACCATTCATTCACCGGCCACTATCACACTGGCAGCCCCACATTCCTCTCCAGGTTTCTTCCCCACCGTATAAATCAGATCAAATCAGTTGTCATTTATAACCAGCAAAAAGGATGGAGAGGCCTTATAGTTACATTAGACACAGGCCCAGTGGTCTTCTCTTACTTCCTCAGAGATGGTCTCAGGAAGGAGCCACCAGCGCTACAGCAGCACATTTCCTGCAAATCTACACTCGGTTCTTCCGAGCGGTAAACAGCTACTACGGTACTCTCAAGCTCTCCAGGTACTCACACTTTTTTTCCCTCTTTACTTCTAGGCCTTCTTCTCTTTCTTCCCTGATTTTGTGTCCCCTTTCAAACTTTCCCTTTCATACATCAAAATGGCAAGAGCAGCAAAACATTCTAAATCATGGTCAATAAAGCCAGTGCTGGGGAACAAAATGGATACAAATTTATCATTATATTCTGTTCCATTTGGGAGTGGCACACAGGAGCGGTATACTGTTTTTATGTACTTCTCTACAACTGCAGAGCACTAAAGGTTCCTGATTCCATCATGAAATTTAAGAGGTACATGAGCAAAGGTACTATATTTGGAAAGTTAAAACAAAAGATGTATTAACCTCTGGGATGTTGTTTTAAAAAAGTATCATGGGGTCTACATACTTCCTAAAGGGAAAAGTAAACATTTTTTTGAAGATTTTATATACCATAGTTTTTCACAAATGTTATCTCATCAGTAGACATGCCAAACATAGCCATCTGTAGCTGCGCTATCCAAAAGGCAGTCACTAACCACCTGTGGCTATTTCAATTTAAAGCATAATTAACTAAAACTAAATTGAAAATTCAATTCCTCAGTCACATTCAACACATTTCAAGTGTTTGATGCATGAAAACGGCTACTGACTGCCATACTGCACAGCAAAGAGAGCTAATATTTCCATTATCGCAGAAATCCTATGGCACAACAATGATCTAAGTCTTTCTCCCCCGTGAAGATTTTCCACAAAAATGTCTGAAAAATTACGTTTGGTCCCTCTGGTACAATGAAGATTAATTCTTTCACACTAAAGCTCTTAACTAGAATCTGTATACACGTGCTCTATTGTACCTGCAGCCAAGTTTTCACCACTGCAAGTTTCTATACTACACTTGGCCTACTGAGAGCTCCAGTCTTTCAAAAACTCTTAATACATCCAAACCTCTCTTGAATGGGTGGCAAAGGTTTGGATCAAAAAAGACATCACATTTTTGCACATATGACATAACTGACCCCTATGAAGTATGATCCCCGGGGCAGTGACAAAACTAAGTTTATGCTACTGAGGTTCTGCTTGCCCAGAGAATATAAAGGACTTCTGTGACTGTGAAGTCACTAAATAACCTAATAGTTTTAATAATGAAGGCAAAAAATATTTTAATGGGTATAATGTCATTATCAAACCACAAAAAAGGCTACACATGAAACAGAGTTCAATTTTGGTTAGATTTCCTTTAAAGTCTCACAGAACTCACGTGGCACGGGGCCTCTGTGACAATAGGTAAATTTTCATAAATGCTTAAGTACATCTGGATTCTATTCCAGTGACCTACAGGGTAATACATCATTCTGTCAGTTTCACAGGCACATTCATATCCTATTCTCCAAAACCAGAAATGGTCCAGAAATTCCTAGTCCACATGACATGTTGCTGAAGGAACACACATAACACACAAATGCACAAACACACACACACACACGCACGCACTGAAATAATATATAACCATTTACCTTTCTTCTAAATTTTACCTTCTGTGGTTCAGACTTTACCTGTGTTGACAAAGAATGCCTCTTACTAAGTTATTACCCTACAGGTCACTGTAATATAACATCACATACCTGGATTATTATCATGAGTGAAGGGTTCTTTCATATAGCTCAACAGGAGGATAGGAAGCTCTATGAAAACTCTGATTTTTGCTTCATTTTTAACCGAAAGGATTCAGAGCCTTTGTCAATACCAGCTGTTGCAGTGGTTGGCTGCCTGTGATAATAGGCTGCCTTTCACCTGAAAGAATGAAGGGGCGTTTCTCAGAGTAATATCTTACCATACAGAGGATGATACTGTCTTAAAACCTAGTGAAAATCAATTTCACTGTCATTTCTATTATTATTATTTTTTTTTTTTTTAGACGGAGTCTTGCTCTGTTGCCAGGCTGGAGTACGGTGGCACAGTCTCAGCTCACTGCAACCTCCGCCTCCCGGGTTCAAGTGATTCTTTTGCTTCAGCCTCCCAAGTAGCTGGGACTACAGGCGCGTGCCAAACGCCTGGCTAATTTTTGTATTTTTAGTATAGACGGGGTTTCACCATGTTGGCCAGGATGGTCTTGATCTCTTGACCTCACAATCCACCCACCTCGGCCTCCCAAAGTGCTGGGATTACAGGTGTGAGCCACTGCGCCCAGCCGGTCATTTCTTTATTAAAAAAACACCTCCTTTGCAGAAATATCACTGAGATGTCACGTTTAAATTTTTTTCTACTTCGTATCATTTATAAGCCAATATTTTTTAAATTTTTGGCAGTTCTTTAGGTCTGGGCAGGGGTGACATTTGCCCAGAATACATTTGAATATGGTCTGCCGATTGCTTCTAAATATCCTGTTTTGACTGATCAATGCTTGCACAGTGCTTAACTACTAGACAGTAACTCCTGGATACACACACTGCTGCTTGTCTTTTCTCTTTCGTGTAATTAAAGTAGTAAATGTCCAACAAAAAGCAAGATTCCAAGGGGTCAATTGCTGACCTATTTGCATTTCTAATTCTAATCCAAATTAAATAAATGGAAAATCCACTATAAAAGAAAAGCACAAAAGGCAATCTTCACAATCATTACCCAGGGAATCACTGCTTTGTAAAATCATTAAAAATTATCTTGAAAAATAATAAAAGCAACTTGACTGAGACAATTTTACAATTCTAAGTAATGTTCTTTTAAGTGTTATTCTTTTAAATTTTAGTTTTGGCAATTCTCAACTGTAACTACAACAGAACATTCTTCCCCAAAGAAAAACAAATTTAAAACTATTTATTTCACAATTTTGGTCACCAACATTTAACAGAAATACTTGCTCAGTATAGCAGCTCATGCAGCTTAAAAAATTTAAAAGTTATAACTTTTACATAGGGCCTAGAGACAAAGAAAACTCATTAGCAATAAGCATAAGGAGTGCCTAAATCTTGTTTCCTAAAACCATTCTCCAATAAAAGAAAACAGGGCACAATGAAGAAATGGCTGCTTCTAGGATATGAGCAGAAAACATACAAAACAAGCCTGGAGCATCTTGTAATGGCGGGAAGTGAGGAGGTGCTAAAGAAAAAAAAAACTCCACAATGATGAACATATGTCAAACAGACACAGAAATCAGCTGAAAAAGTTTCCTGTGGTCAAAAATTAGAATTTTTGGACAAGAACATAAAGCTGTATCGGATTATAACTGAAGGTATAAAATAAATTGTGTATGAATACATACTGATATAAATAAAAGACAAATATCCTGTTCAGAGGAATTCCAAATGATTTACGTATTAAATACTCCTCCTTCAAGGAGGTGGAACATGACTCCCCACTCCTAAAGTGCAGGCGGTGCATAGTGACTTCCTCGTGAAGAGTACAGTATGGAAGGGAAAAGGAGTAACTGCAGTGGGGAAGCCTGACAAACACAGCCTCAGCCAGGTGATCAAGGTCGAAATCAACAAGTCAAGTTGACAGAGCGTATTCTGGGGGTACGATGTAGTGAAAATGGAAATTTATCTCTGTGGTCTTCCTCCCCAAAATCCATAACTCCACTGTAATCATGGATAAAATTTCAGACAGATATTAACCTCCTTTCCACATAAGGTACATTCTACAAAATACCTGACCAATATTCCTCAAAACCATGAAGGATCATCAAAAACAAAGTACGAAAAACTGTAACAGCCAAGAGAAGCCTAAAGCAACATGATGAGCAAAGATAATGTGTCATCCTACTTGGGATACTGCTACAGGAAAACACATTAGGTGAAAACCAAGGGAATCTGGATAAAGTATGGACATGACTTCATAACAGTATATCAGTATTGGTTCATTAACTGTAACAATGCGCCACACTAATATAAGGTGTTAACAGGGAAAATGGTACAGCATCTATAGGGCAACACTCTGTACTATTCACAATTTTGCTATAAATCTGCACTTTCTAAAATTTAATTTTAAAAAATTATATAATCTTTCCAACACTAAATCACACTGCATATAATTTTTAGTTTTAAAAATATGTATTTGTTTGTCATTGTAATTGTGGTTAAAGAGTATGGGCTTGGATCAAACTGCTTGGATCTGAAACCAGATACCCTAAGTTGATTTTTACTATTAATAGTTACGTGCTTGACCTGTATACAGTATATAGCTAACATGGGCCCATTCTGACGTCAGTTATGTTCAGCAGTGTTTGCTTTCCCAGTAAGAGAAAACAAGACAAATAAGGTCCAATCAGCCCAAAGCTTCTTAACACAGGGTAGCTATATTTAGTCAAGAACCAGGCAACATGTGCTGAGTATCGCAGGGACTAAACCCGGGGCAACCTGGACCCCCATTCACAGTCTAGGCAGGTTCTCTTTCCCAAGAACAGATGTGACCAGCAACGTGATTAATGCCTCTGAGCAAAGTGCAGGACTGATTTTAAGAGCTGTCAGCAATTTCACACAATATGAACACTACCTGCTTATTTCTAATATTCAAATGAGTTCGACTAATGAAAAACTATTTTATTTTTATAAGCAAAAAAGCATCAAAATAAATTTGATAAAACATCTGAAGACACGTTCAATAATAATGACCAATAATATATTATGTTATTCATCTTTTTTAAAGTTTACATGTTAAAAGATTTACAACTTCTTTCCTACCAATGAATGCTTCTTAAATGAATATTCATACAGCAATTGCAGTGGCTTTCACCGTCTAAGATAGTCATTAAAGGCTTGTCATCCTGGCCCAACAATGCCTCTGGTGCTTCTAAATTATTAGATCTTAGTCTATTGCTTTGAATGTTGTAACTGCAACATAAAAATGAGAAATAAATTACCAGTATGAATAATCAAAGGTCACGATTTTCAGCAAAAGCTTAGAATGTTATAGTATCACCTACTTCTTAATATAAACTATTAAGAGTATTTTTCTTGACCATACTGAGTAAATAAAAAAGATGAAATTAATGAGACAAATGAAAAGGCTGAGAGCAACTGGCTATTCTTTCAGCAGACTATAAGTAACTAATGGGCATTAGAGGGTTTTTTTTTTTTTTTTTTTTTTTTTTTTTTTTTTTTTTTTTTTTTTTTTTTTTTTTTTTTTTTTTTTTTTTTTTTAGATTCAGGGGGTTCATATACAGGCTCCATACATGGGTATACTGTGTGACGCTGAGGTTTGGGGTAGAAAGGATCACATCACCCGGGGAGTGAGCACAGTGCCTAATCGGTAGTTTTTCAGCCCTTGCCCCCATCTCCCAATCCCCATCTAGTGGTCCCAATACCTACTGTTCCCATCTTTATGTTCATAATTAACGTTTTTAGAGTTAGATTAACTGTCACGAGACCTAACACCAAATTTAATCTGGGATTGTGCCTCAGGCTATGCTCCACCTCTGCTACTGTGTTAAGATCACATGCGGTCTGTGAAGTCACTGAGCTGAGCACACGCTGAGAACAGGAAACCTGATATTTCTCTTCTATGAATGCACTCCAGCACCTAGCATTGGATGTATAAAGAAGAAGGGATTCACTAAATATTTCTTGGATTAAACAAATGAATGAATCTGCTTGTGGAATTATTTCCAATTAAGTGTACCAAACAGGGAACTTTGGTATACAGCCAACCAGGTTATCTTAAGTTTTGTTTTGTTTTGAAAAAAGTATTTACTGTGATGGATGAGAGCAGTTACAGGGCTCTGAACAGAAATTACTGGATAGTCCTTCCCTTCAGGACAATGTTTGACAGATTTGCAGTATCTTGTCACATACAAAATTCAGAAGAGCACACCTGACTTGCTGGCTTGTAGGGTGCATGCTCACCAGGGGGTCTTGATTGATAATGACACCAAGCCTTTATCCCAAGGTAGAAGTTAAACAAAGCAAATATGGAGATACTCTTCGTAGAGGAGAACAGCACAGAGGCTGAGAAAGAACGTACACAGATACCTACTGTAAGGGAGAAGATGCAGGGGACGGGAATAACCGACCAGGAATTACAACCAACCAGGAATTACAGTAAGTATTTTGCTTCTCATACATATTATGTGATTCTCCAAACAACCTTATGAGGTGAATACTAACAACCTATCTTACTAGAACTGAAATTGAAGGTTGCCAAGTTTTAGTTACTTAGCTGAAGTCATGAAATTACCAGGTCTTTCTATTCTCTTCTACCTCCCAACCGAAAAAAAAGTTTCTTATCAAAGAATCATGTGAAACATTAAATCCATGAAGTCTCAGAAAAGCAAGTCATCTTTGAAAACATTTCCTGACAATAACTTCTTGCCCTCATATTATCAAGGTTTTCTCTCAACATATACAGCAAATCTTTTTCATTCAAACTACATTATTTGCTTTTAAATAAAACTAAAGTTTCCATGGCTATTGACAGAAAATGGTGACACCACTGTGACAAGTACAATTCTTACAAATTAATAAATCTGCACATCCCTACAAGTTCAAAATTCCCCTCTAAGTAAGTCTATCCGTCCTTATATATGGTAGTGGTAACAAGAGATACCAGATGAGAATATGGATACACACAAAAAAATTGCTAATCCTTAACGGCAAATGGTCAACCTTATTAACAGGAGGTTAGAAGCAGGAGCATTTTTAAACCAATCCAAGCCCAGCACTTTTCTACCATGTAGAAAATGTGTGTTCATCTCTCTAGGTCAGTTAAGCACACACATGCTATTTTGTTTATTATTTGGGTCACTATATCCGTGACCTAAGCAGATGGTCTATGCATTTTATGTGAAGTATTTAATTAGGCCATCAAGAATGTGGCAGTACCAGCTGTTATGGCCTGCTGACCTTGGTAAAGGAGGAAGTATCAGCAAAATGAGGATGACAATGTTCAGATGAAACACACAAATGAAATCTGTTCATGAAAATCTCAGTTGCTCTAACTTACCGCACTTCAAACCAAGAAATGTCAGCTGAAGCACAGTAATCTGGCTCACATCAATCACCTACAAGTCCACTGAGTTTATTAAAAACTATTTTTAGGCCAGTCACAATGGCTCACCCCTGTAATCCCAGCACTTAGGGAGGCAGAGGCAAGTGTATCACTTGATGTCAGGAGTTCAAGACCAGCCTGGGCAACTTGGTGAAACCCTGTCTCTACTAAAAATATAAAAATTAGTCGAATGTGGTGGCTTGTTCCTGTAATCCCAGCTACTTAGGAGGCTGAGGCAGGAGAATCACTTGAATCAGGGAGGTGGAGATTGCAGTGAGCTGAGATCGTGCCACTGCACTCCAGCCTGGGCAACAGAGTTGAGACTCTGTCTCAATTTAAAAACAAAACTATTTTTAAATGATTATACTGATATATACACAGGAAAGACTGAAAATACGTACTGCAAAATAATAATTGTTATTTCTAGATGGTGAGCTTACGGGTGATTTTTACTTAATACTTTAATGGTATTCTCTATAATGTACTTTCATGATTTGAAATATTTTTAATTTAAAAAAGCAGTGCCATATACATGTAAGTCTTTTATTTAGTACTGTAGTTCCCAAGACACTGAATTATAAATCCATTTTCCTCATAAATAAATTTGATCCTTTCTCATTTATCTATGACCACTTTTTCATTTTTCATATCTGACCTCCCCGTTGGCCTATGAAGCTTTTTAATCTCAGTGCCATATTCTTCTTTCAACCCAGTCAGGGGACTCCTGCTACTGCCAATCCCAGGCTGGGCCTTGACCCTGTCGGCAAGAGTTCAGCGGGAACTGAGTCAACACATTCTCCTTTTCCTCAGAGGCTTTTCCAGAGATTTCTCCCTTTCCTCAGTTCCACTAACCCATAACCATCTCCCTCAAATCATCAAGACGTGATGTATTAAATCCACGCACAGTCTCAGAAATGCAATTCTTCCTTGAAAACAATAGTTCTTGACAACAAAGCCTTCCTAGTTTCACACTATCTAACAAAATATACTCCACATCCTTTTCTATTCCATATATGTATGATACTTACTTATATATAAACCTAAAGCCTCCATGTCTACTGAGAGAAAATGGTGATACCGTAGTAACAAATCCAACCCAACCACTCCTCAACCTGTGGCCGTGGTGGCTCATGCCTGTAATCGCAGCAGCTTGGGAGGCCGAGGCAGGCAGATCACCTGAGGTCATGAGTTCAAGATCAGCCTGGCCAATATGGTGAAACCCTTCTCCACTAAAAATGTAAAATTTAGCTGGGCGTGGTGGGGCACACCTGTAATCCCAGCTACTCGGGATGCTGTGACAGGAAAATTGCTTGAACCTGGGAGGCAGAGGTTGCAGTGACCTGTGATCGCACCACTGTACTCCAGCCTGGACAAAAGAGCAAGACTCCATCTCAAAAAAGGGAAGGGGAGAGGGGGAGGGGAGAAAAAGGCTGGAGACTTAGAACTTTCTCAAGTTTCTGTCCCTTGTCCAGGGCAAATCCCTCTGACCCCAGGGCTTTGTTTCCCTCTTACTGGTCCTTCAGTGAAATTAATTCAATAAATACCCATTGAGCTTTAATCCAGATATGTACAAGATATTGGGGATTTGCTCAGCAACACTCATAGTCTCTGCTCCATCAGCCCTCTCCCCCTTCTGGCCTCCGGCCCCTCTCCAGGTTTGTTCACTAGAGCTGTCATAACAAAACACTACAGACTGGTGGCTCAAAGAACAGCAATTTATTTTCACAGTTCTGGAGGCTGGAAGTTCAAGATGAAAGTATTTGTAGGTTTGGTTTCTTCTGAGGCCTTTCTGACTGCTGGTGTCTCTTCCTCTTCCTACAAGAATTAGGGTGTGACCATAAAGCCCTCATTTTAAATCACCTCTTTAAAGACCTTCTCTCCAAATATGGTCACATTCTGAGGTACTGGGGGTCAGAACATCAACATATGAATTTGGAGGGAATGCGGTTCAGCCAAGAACACATTCTCCTTATCCTGGGTTTCTCACTTGCTCTTCTACCTCAGTAAATAACATCCTCAAATCTTTTTCATATCTAAGTGAAGCAGGCGCGGCGAGAAGGGAACCTCTGGAACACTGAATTGTTCCTGGGAGTGGCTTTTTAATGATCCTGGGAGTGGCTTTTTAATCGGCCAGGGGCTGCAGAGAGCTACAGCCACATTCACCAAGCTCCCCAAGAAGCAGCTTCTTTCCCCTTTTATAGGCTTACAATGCTAAAGTGGAAACTGAGGTGAAACTACGTCATTGTCCACTGGCTGGACGTCTGATCTTACAATCTTTTGGCTTCACTGATTTGCTGGTTCGTATGCAGCATGAGCGGGAACCAGCAGGGGAAGGGGCTTACAGAGACAAGACAAAGGCAGCCAATTATTAGTTGGCAGAGGTGTTTCCAGGAGGGAGCCTGGGCTGTGCAGACGTTGGGGCATGACCCAGTGCCGGGCTCTGGCCGGTAGGGATAACACTCATTTGCAACTCTTTCAAGGCTTACAGATAGCAGAGACGCTGGGAACTAAAAAGGGAGTCATTTTCCCAGCTCTTTGGTATTTTACTTCCTTTTTTTACCTTCCTTCCCATCCGGAAGAGGGGAGGAGGAGGAGGCTGGGAAGTGAAAGGAGGGGAGGGTGTCTCCCCTCTCAAAAGCACCAACAACCCACTCCTAGTCCAGATCTCCCCCCTGTTCTATCTAGCTGCTTCCCATCACTGCCAATATATAAAAATGCCCTAAACTAGGAGTCTCAAACTCAAATATAGAGGAGCTAGGAGAATCCTAAGTAGACTGGCTAGAGAACGAGAGGCTACCAGTGCCTTCTAAAGGTAGACTACCCACTGTCAGCTAGCTTCAGTCAGTTGTGAAAAGAGAGCCCAGGGTATCCATTCCATTTTGTAAGAGAACCCGGAAATATACTTGTATGCAATTTCCCAAGTTTTATATGCTGATAACCAAAACAGACACTCCCCCCAAAAGCTGTAGGTGGGCCAAATAAAATAGGTTGATAATCTATTTTCCCCCTATTTTTTTCCTATAATCTCTTAAATTCACTTTCCCCATTTCCTGACCTGTCATTCATCCTCACATTTCTGAAAACAGGCTTCTTTGTACCAATTCCTTTTCCTAGACTCCACTTGAACAGCTACTGATGAATCCCCATATCTTACCTACCACCCTTCCCATCTCAAATTTGAGCTCTCTGAAAGCAGATATTATGCCTGTATGTTTCCAGTGCTGAGCACTGTGCCCAGCACAGAATGTGGACTCAATAAACGATTACTGAATAAATGCGCTTATCTCTTTCTTTGGAACAACCCAATGTGGTGGGGGAATGATAAATCAAAGAATCCTACCTTCAGTAATTTTGTAAAAGCTCACCACTTAATTTATGTATTTGCTTCATTGGTTTAGCAAGATTCTGGACCATCATGTCATATATATACTCTTACATAGCACAACAGCTTAAAATCCCCACATTTCCTTCAAACGGCAAAATTTAGCTTCTAAAGAGAGAAATGCTGGTATCATTCTCTGATTTACCTAAAACGTCCATTTATGTGCATGCTTAACATTTTAGAACACAGTCAATCATGAGGAGGCAAGAAAAAAATTCCATGAATTGTCAAAATAGGTGATTAACATTCATTCATTAATTTCACTCATAAGTAAACCCTTCAGGCCTTGACTCAGAACCTCCTGGCTTTTAATTTTTAAACTATTCTAACATAACTTCATTTGGAGGGGAAATATATCAGGCCAGAACTATCTTTTAAATCTGTTAGCCCGAGAGCCAGACTTAATTCCTGAGATGCCAGTTTGCTGCTCTGTGGAGGGTATCTTTTGAACCCACTCCGAGCTACACTGAATTTAGCCTCTTCTCGTCTATCTCTTTATTTATGAATGGTCAAAATTATTCCAGAAGTGTGAGGTCTACAAGGATGACAACAAAAGATGTACTTAAAAGGAGGCAGTGATTAAAATAATGGAATTTAGAGGTAAGAAGACAGAAACCTAGGGTGGTCCTTAAAGGAGAGTTCAGCAACCACAAATTCACTCAAGAAAATACTTGAGTATCTTCTCTAACAATGTTATTTTCTTGACCAGGAAGCTTCCAGTGTTCCTGTGAAGTATGCCATACCCTCCTGAGTCCTTTTCCATGACATATTCAATACAACAATGCCCAACCTAGCCACATTTCTCCACAGGAAAAGGAGAATATGAGGGATGGTGTTCACCCTCATACATCTCTGCTTTTGCTCAATCTTGGCATAACAACAATTAGACAGGACTAGATTAAAACTTCCCAGTTCTCCTGCCTCGGCCTCCCAAAGTGCTGGGGAGGGTGAGGCAGGAGAATTGCTTGAACCCAGGAGGCAGAGGTTGTGGTGAGACAAGATCATGCCATTGCACTCCAGCCTGGGTTACAAGAGCGAAACTCCACCTCCACAAAAACTTCCCAGTTCTACTACAGTGTTAAGGCAAGTTACTAAACTTTTCTAAATCTTCTTTTCCTCATCTGTAACGTGGGGATCATAGTATTAAATTAAAACCTACAAAAGGTTGAAAAAATACTGAATTCAGTGGTATGATGAATTATCCATCACGCTATCTTCAGTTTCCGCATCTTAGCTAAGTTTTCCTATCAGACTGAAAAACTGTCTTCACTTATACCCAATGTTGCACATATGGCGAGGATCAAGGCTTTCTACAGAAAATCTTGAATAAAATAATATTCCTCCACTATTTTTAGGACAATTTCAATTAGATGTGAAAATACTAGAGAAAAAAAAGAGTAATCCTAACATGTATTTTATAAAAAAAACAGATACAATTTAAGCATAAAATAAAATTTAAAAACAGAAGAACAAATTAGTCCAGGTGATATATAACTAAACATCAAAATGGGGAAGGAGGGAAGGGAAGCTTACATTGAAATCTATTCTACTGTGAACCAACATGAACATTTTTATAAGAACATAAGAGGAGTTCTGAGCCATCTCTTAAGTAAAAGCAAGATGAATCCCATGGGTAAATAAGTTTGCTAATAAAGAGGTATTTACACTCAATGAATCTCACAGAGATATAAGACATAGAGTTAGGGTCATATGGAACATTCTAGTGGTACCAAAAGTCACAAAAAAATGAGAGAAAAATTTTGTACAGA